TCATGCCCACTTGCACTCTCAGACCCATCATGCTGTTGCTGAACCACAACAAAGATATTAAATAAAAAAGTAATAAGATAAAGTATCCAAAACTGAGTCAATTTAATAATATAATGAAATAAACAATAATATAATAATAAAATTTAAATAAATAAAATATAAATAATAATAATAATAATAATAATAATAACAATAAATAATATAAAATTATATAATATATAAATATAAATAAATAAATAATAATAATTAATAACTCATCTTGTGTTTCTAATAATAATAAATAATAATATAAATATTTAAATAAAATATAATTAAATTTATAAAATATTTATAAAATATAATTATAAATAATAATAAAAATAATATATAAAATTAAATTATAAATTATTAATATATAAAAATAATGTTATTATAAAAACTTAGAAAGTAAATATAAGAAATAAATAAAGAAAAAGTAACAAAAAGTAACAGAAATTGCACTTTGAAAAAACTCTGAAAATTATCTGGGAAGTATTGCATACATACTAATTTCTGTAGCAGTATTGCAAGTTAAGTAAGAAGGACCAACTTCACATTTGGGTGGTGTCTCTTAATGTGCATCCTTAGCCCTGTTGTGGCAAGATGCCTCATATCTTTTCCTCTGCTGACGCTCACACCGCAATGCCTGCAAACTGCCAAAGTGGCCCTCTCATTATGGACGTCGTAATGATCCCATAGGAGCGATCTCGGCCTACCCCTACTAGGCACTTCAGATGTACTCATGCTCGTGTTTGGACTGTCGGTGTTTGTGGAAGGGAGTATAATCGTTGGTTGTTTCTGTAGCTCGCCCTCCATCAGCATGCAGTCCTCTTGATCACTAATTCCTGTGGTGGAAGCACATTCCATCTTGTCTTCCTCCCATTCCTCTGACACGTCCGCCTCCTCGCCCTCCTCTTCATAACAAGTAATATCAGAGGTACTTGGAACGACATCAGGATCTGAACGTAGAGTCTTTCGAACTGATGAAGAAGAAGGTTCTGCCATCTCACAGCTGGTTGAAGCATCTGTGGGTGTTTCAATAACCATCTCGTTGGATGAATGTTCCCTTCTTGTCAATGTGTTCATCTTCAGTCCCCTGCCTTTCTTCGGTATTCGCGATAGCACTTGGCCCTTGCGACTAGAAAAGCCGGGAAGGAAGCGTTTCATCACACTGGTTGGAACTACACAAATAATGAGCAAAAGGAGCGCACTGGTTGGAACTACACAAATAATGAGCAAAAGGAGCGCACTGGTTGGAACTACACAAATAATGAGCAAAAGGAGCGCACTGGTTGGAACTACACAAATAATGAGCGAGCACTGTATTATAGCACTTTGTGTTGGCAAAAGGAGCGCACTGGTTGGAACTACACAAATGAGCGAGCACTGTATTATCGCACTTTGTGTTGGCAAAAGGAGCGCACTGGTTGGAACTACACAAATGACAAAGCACTGTATTATAGCACTTTCTGTTGGCAAAAGGAGCGCACTGGTTGGAACTACACAAATGATGAGCGAGCAGTGTATGTAGCACTTTGTGTTGGCAAAAGGAGCGCACTGGTTGGAACTACACAAATGATGAGCGAGCAGTGTATGTAGCACTTTGTGTTGGCAAAAGGAGCGCACTGGTTGGAACTACACAAATGAGCGAGCACTGTATTATAGCACTTTGTGTTGGCAAAAGGAGTGCACTGGTTGGAACTACACAAATGATGAGCGAGCACTGTATTATAGCACTTTGTGTTGGCAAAAGGAGCGCACTGGTTGGAACTACACAAATGAGCGAGCACTGTATTATAGCACTTTGTGTTGGCAAAAGGAGCGCACTAGTTGGAACTACACAAATGAGCGAGCACTGTATTATAGCACTTTGTGTTGGCAAAAGGAGCGCACTGGTTGGAACTACACAAATGACAAACGCACACACAGCCACCGAAGAGTCTTTTCTTTTTTAGAATATTTTTTGTATTTTTTTAAGAATAAAAGACAGGTATTTTTAAAAAATATTCAAAAATGCAAAATTAACCAAAAACTGGCCCTGATGTGGACCAAACACAGCCACGAGACAGGGCAAACGAGAGCACACACCAACAGAAGAGTCTTTTTTTTTAGAATATTTTTTGTATTTTTTTAAGAATAAAAGACAGGTATTTTTAAAAAATATTCAGAAATGGAAAATTAACCAAAAACTGGCCCTGATGTGGACCAAACACAGCCACGAGACAGGGCACGAGAGCACACACCAACAGAAGAGTCTTTTCTTTTTTAGAATATTTTTTGTATTTTTTAAGAATAAAAGACAGGTATTTTTTAAAAATATTCAAAAATGGAAAATTAACCAAAAACTGGCCCTGATGTGGACCAAACACAGCCACGAGACAGGGCAAACGAGAGCACACACCAACAGAAGAGTCTTTTCTTTTTTTAGAATATTTTTTGTATTTTTTTAAGAATAAAAGACAGGTATTTTTAGAAAATATTCAAAAATGGAAAATTAAACCAAAACTGGCCCTGATGTGGACCAAACACAGCCACGAGACAGGACAAATGAGAGCACACACCAACAGAAGAGTCTTTTCTTTTTTAGAATATTTTTTTTTAAGAATAAAAAACAGGTATTTTTAAAAAATATTCAAAAATGGAAAATTAACCAAAAACTGGCCCTGATATGAAACAAACACAGCCACGAGACAGGGCAAACGAGAGCACACACCAACAGAAGAGTCTTTTCTTTTTTTAGAATATTTTTTGTTTTTTTTAAGAATAAAAGACAGGTATTTTTAAAAAATATTCAAAAATGGAAAATTAACCAAAAACTGGCCCTGATGTGGACCAAACACAGCCACGAGACAGGGCAAATGAGAGCACACACCAACAGAAGAGTCTTTTCTTTTTTAGAATATTTTTTGTATTTTTTAAGAATAAAAGACAGGTATTTTTAAAAAATATTCAAAAATGGAAAATTAACCAAAAACTGGCCCTGATGTGGACCAAACATAGCCACGAGACAGGGCAAACGAGAGCACACACCAACAGAAGAGTCTTTTCTTTTTTAGAATATTTTTTGTATTTTTTTAAGAATAAAAGACAGGTATTTTTAAAAAATATTTAAAAATTGAAAATTAACAAATTAACAAAAACCGAAGGAAGGAATGAATCCAAGCAAGGAATTAATCCAAGCAAGGAATGAATAATAAGCAAGGAATAAATCCAATCCAAGCTTAGCCAGCAACCAACCAAGCCAACCCAATGCAAGCCGCCCTCCCGGACCTCTTCTCTTCTCCCTCGCCTCCGCAACAAATGAGCTGTGCGGCCACGCAGCAAGAACTCCAGGACAAGCCTCCGCCTGATCAAAGCACTCCAAAAACAGACAGTGAGGTGACCAAGGTCCCCGTTGACCAAGCCACCACCATTGCCAAGAAATCACTCCGACAGAGGATTGTAGATGAACTGAAACACTATTACAATGGATTCCACTTGCTTTGGATAGATACCAAAGTTGCTGCTAGGATGGTGTGGAGACTGTTACATAGAATCATAGAATCATAGAATCAAAGAGTTGGAAGAGACCTCATGGGCCATCCAGTCCAACCCCCTGCCAAGAAGCAGGAATATTGCATTTAAATCACCCCTGACAAATGGCCATCCAGCCTCTGCTTAAAAGCTTCCAAAGAAGGAGCCTCCACCACACTCCGGGGCAGAGAGTTCCACTGCTGAACGGCTCTCACAGTCAGGAAGTTCTTCCTAATGTTCAGATGGAACTCCTCTCTTGTAGTTTGAAGCCATTGTTCCGCGTCCTAGTCTCCAAGGAAGAAGAAAACAAGCTTGCTCCCTCCTCCCTGTGGCTTCCTCTCACATATTTATACATGGCTATCATATCTCCTCTCAGCCTTCTCTTCTTCAGGCTAAACATGCCCAGTTCCCTAAGCCGCTCCTCATAGGGCTTGTTCTCCAGACCCTTGATCATTTTAGTCGCCCTCCTCTGGACACATTCCAGCTTGTCAATATCTCTCTTGAATTGTGGTACCCAGAATTGGACACAATATTCCAGATGTGGTCTAACCAAAGCAGAATAGAGGGGTAGCATTACTTCCCTAGATCTAGACACTATGCTCCTATTGATGCAGGCCAAAATCCCATTGGCTTTTTTTCCGCCGCATCACATTGTTGGCTCATGTTTAACTTGTTGTCCACGAGGACTCCAAGATCTTTTTCACACGTACTGCTCTCGAGCCAGGCATCCCCCATTTTGTATCTTTGCATTTTGTTTTTCCTGCCAAAGTGGAGTATCTCGCATTTGTCACTGTTGAACTTCATTTTGTTAGTTTTGCCCATCTCTCTAATCTGTCAAGATCGTTTTGAATTCTGCTCCTGTCCTCTGGAGTATTGGCTATCCCTCCCAATTTGGTGTCGTCTGCAAACTTGATGATCATGCCTTCTAGCCCTTCATCTAAGTCATTAATAAAGATGTTGAACAGGACCGGGCCCAGGACGGAACCCTGCGGCACTCCGCTCGTCACTTCTTTCCAAGATGAAGAGGTATGAGCAGGTGCTCACACGGAGGAAAAGGCGAAGGCTGATGAGAACGTCTGCTGATCTCTTCCGCCTGGTCCCTTTCCTGGTGTTCATCATCGTACCCTTTATGGAATTCCTTTTGCCAGTGTTTTTTTAAAAATATGTCATATTTATTCATAGTCTTGGCTAATGGTGAGGGTACAGTAAACCAATTTTATGTTAATATTGTCTAATACAAAATTAGCCCTTTTAAGTATCCCAATACAAAACAGTAAAAGTGTTAATAATATACTCTTAAAATTGTAAGTATGTTAACTTTTATTCAAGAAAAGTGTTTGGAATGCTCTATAGACTGGCAAGTATCCTGAGGGAGGACAGAAGCTATTCTGATGCCAACTATATTTCCAAAGGTTGAAGACTGCCTGATAATAACTTTAGTTATTACTACTTTTCTTCAACACTAAATATTGGAATACGGCTCACTTTTGCCAGTGTTTTTGAAACTCTTCCCTGAAATGCTTCCCTCAACCTTTGAAACCGAATCCAAAAAGGAAAACAAAGGAAGAAACTGAGTGCCAAGCTGGAGCTAGCCAAGTTCTTACAGGAGACCATTGCGGAGTTGGCCAGAAGGAACAAAGCCAGTACAGGAGAAGCCACACAGCAATTCTCTTCCTATGATCAAAAGGTCCGGCACAGCGGCCAGCAGCCCAGCACCCAGGAGATTATTCAGTTTTCCAAGCTTTTTGAGGATGAACTGACCCTGGAGCACCTGGAGAGGCCGCAGTTGGTCATCCTCTGCAAACTGCTGGACCTGCACCAACAACCTCCTCCGCTTCCAGCTTCTGATGAAGCTCAGGTCTATCAAAGCAGATGAGGAAATGATTTCCAGGGAAGGTGTCAATGGGCTGAGTGTGTCTGAGCTCCAGGCCGCATGCAGGGCAAGAGGCATGAGGTCCTTGGGCATTTCGAAGGAGCAGCTGAAGGAGCAACTCAACCCGTGGCTGGACCTGAATCTTAGAGAGAATGTGCCCCCTTCTTTGTTGGTGCTCTCCCGCGCCTTGTATTTGACGGAGGTGAAGCCCATACCGATTCCTGTGACTCCAGCACCTGAGCCTTTCAAGAGCGAGAAAGTACAAATTTCCACAAGAGCCAGAGAAATATTTGCTAGGAATTGTGAATACGAAATTAGACAAGAGTCAGGAAAGAATACTGTTCCTGCTTAGTACGGCGGCAAGGATAGTACTTGCTAGATCCTGGAAACATAAAGAAGTCCCAAGCTTGGATGAATGGGTTCTCAAAGTCTTTGACATTATTCAAATGGACTGTCTTTCACAAAGATTAAAAGGAACGCATATAAGGGCAAACTGGACCGGGTTTAAAGACTATATTAGAAATAGGGGGATTCCAATACAGATAGATCTGTCTCCCCTCCCCCTTCCTCCCCCTGTTCACCCGATTGTATTGTATTGTATTGTATGTTAATATATGTCTATATATGTTTATATATGCAAAACTTAATAAAAATCTATTTTAAAAAAAGAGCGAGAAAATACGTGCTGACAACCGTGAAACCTTGTTGGATCCCGCTCCCAAAGTCCAGGAAAGAAAGAATGAAGAATTTATTTTGCAGCCAAAAGAGGCCTCAATGGTCCCTGAGGTGTCAGTCAGGCCACCTGGAAGTGAGATGGAATTGGAAGCCTCTCAGAGCAGCAAAGCCAGCGCCAACGGAGTCTAAGCATTCTCCCATCATGGACTTGAGAACGGAGGGGAAACCGTTCCGTGTCTGGACCTGATCTAGACTTGCGAAGGATGGGCATTTCTCGTCGTCGAACTCCTGTCCGCGTACAGATTTCTTCCACCCTTCCTTCTTTCAAGACCGCTTTGATGTGACCTGGATGGTTTGGTTTATCACTTATTGTCCATCATCAATTATATATACAATTTAATTAGCAATTAATTTATAACTCAACAGATAGGGTAGCAGTAGTAGGATATATTTATATATATAGGATAATAATCAATTAACAAAGAAATCAACTTGGAATGGACTGACATAGGATACAAGGACTATGACTATGATTAATTATTAATTTTCATATATCATCATTTATCTACCTCAACAAGATTAATTAATCATTTATCTACCTCAACAAGAAGAATAAGGAATTGAAGAGGATTAAAAAAAAGGGACAGCAAACAAGCATAAGCTAAGAAATAAAAGGGAAAGTTATTGAAGAAATAAAAGTAAAAATATATAACAGATAAGTTGAAGGATTTCAGGATAATGTCTACACAAAAAAGGGAAGATGGAGAAAGAAAAGGATAAAGACAAAGAAAAAAAGGAACTAGAAAGGACTCACTTCCAGACTCACTTTTTCCGGTTCTTGTTTTAAATTCCCGAACCCCCTTCCCACCACTCCACTCCCACACACCCCTTCCCCTTCCCTTCCCTACATCTCCTTCCCTTTTCTTTCTTTTTTCTTTCTTTTTTTCTCTCCCTAACAAGTGCTTTTATCTATTATGTACTATGAAAACTTAATAAAGAATATTTAAAAAAGAAAAAGAAAAAATGATTTGCCACTTCCGGGTTGGCGTGACGGCTGCAGGACGGTTTCCACAGAGCCCGCAGGGCGACCTGCCGACGGTCCTAAGAGACACTCTCCCCTCAAGGGTGGTGTCCAAAGGACCCGGCAAAGGTGGTCCACGGGGCATAGCGGATCGTGCCGGGGCGAGCTAGGGTCCAAAGATAGCCTAACAAAGGAGACAGAAAATCCTTGACTCCATAGCAGAGGGGGGAAAGATAGAAAGAAGATATTTTAGGCATAATAAGATAATAAAACACCAAAAAAGACACCACATTAACACCCTAAGGGAAATAAAGGAAGTGTTTAACAGAGCTGCTGAAGCAAGAAACAAAGAAGAGAACAAAACAAAATAATAAATATAACAAATATAATAAAGAATATAATAAAGAAGTGATAAGGGGAAAAAATAAATAAATAATAAATATAAATAATAAATATAAATATATAATAAATAAATTATATATATATTTAGGCCTGTTTGATCAAGAAAAAATTTGTTTCTAAAATCGTTTTGTAATTGGGGTGTTTTTTTTGTTTCGATATTTAAAATAATTACAAAACTTACAAAAATTACAAAATTTTGTAAATATTAACGAATTTTTAGAATATTTTTTGTATTTTTTAAGAATAATATTAAAATAA